AAAGTGCTGGGATTACAAGCGTGAGCCACCTTACCTGGCCCACCTACTCTTTTGTAAAAACTTACCCTGGGCAAAAAAAGGAGGAATTCTTTTCCAATAAATAAATAAAATTAGAGAAAAAAAACTATCCCAATGTTAAGGACTTCATTAGGGACATTTACTCCTTTTAAAAATCATTCATGACGGATTTAGACTTAGCACTTCAATCATGAAATCAATCTCAATGCAAAGATCTTTACACAGTCTGCTTCACATGTAAGAGCACAGTTGTCTTATATTGGTTTGTTGTTATATATTTGTATATGAGATAACACAAAATAGGAGTTACCAAATAAAACCAAGCCATTCACTCTTGGTTACTAGGAAGAAAAATTTAGGTATCATAAATAATGGCAATCATCAGCTGCTTTCTAGTATTTAATCTGATAATTACAATAGCAGAAGCATAAATTTCTTTTCAGTTAATAGCTATAAATCTATTTTCCATAAGCCCAAATCCTTCTAAATTCATAATACTCAATTCTTTCTTTTCTCTCTCTTTTTTTTTTTTTTTTTTTTTGAGACAGGGTCTCGCTCTGTTGCCCAGGCTAGAGTGCACTTTAACACTGCGTGTGCACTCATATTCAGCCTCAGCTCATGCACAGTGTGCCAGCACACCCCACTGCTCACTGCAGTCTCGACTTCCCAGGCTCATGAAATCCTCCCACCTCAGCCTACCGAGTAGCTGCAACTACAGGTACCCACCACCACACCTGGCTATTTTTGTAGAGATGGATTTTCCCTATGTTACACAAGATGGTCTCAAACTGCAAGGCTCAAGAAATCTACCTGCCTCAGCCTCCCAAAATGCTCGAATTACAGGTGTGAGCTACCAGGCCCAGTCATAATATTCAATCTTCTGAAATATTTTCAGACAGTCTGCCTGGTACCTAAGAAGCTCAGACTCTAATAATGTATCATCTATAATCTTGAAATGATTGTACTGCCTATCTGTGGACACACTCTGTTGGACCTTTACGACTCAACCTCTGACTGCATCCACTCCAGCAGAACTTACTTTTTAAATGAATCAGACATATTTGGATTTTGATTCTAAGAAAGGTGGTACCTTGATTATTTCCTTGTGTTGACTCTGAGATGCTGACCCCAAGCTGGCTGCCATAGGAGTTGATTCCCATCATGCCACTGTGTGCTGGAGAGCTGGAGAGGGCTGGAAGCTGGCTGGGATTCCTGGGAACGCTGTAGAGGGCTTCAGCAATGTCTGCGGCTCGCTTCAAAATGATGTCCTACAAAACGTCAGGCTAATGTGAGCATTCTATCCAGCATAAAGTGCAAAACTCAATAAAGGGTAGGATGTGAGAATCTCACCTGGTTATTGTGTGGTGTGCCATAAAGGGCTTCCACTAGATCGGCAGCTCTTTTCAACAGCATTTCCTGGACAGCAAGCAAGGGTGGGGTATTGTCAGAGGCAAAATCCAAAATGGCAAACAAAAGAAAATTATAGGTAAAAATGAGAAATCTACACATCCCTCCCAAAATGTAAGTAATTAGCCAAGAGGTCCTATATTTGGTTTGACAGGTAGAATACCATTTAACACATAAATCTCTCTATAAATGCTCCATAAATGGATGTATTACCAAAACAAAAAACAACTGAGAGTGGAGTTGTTTAAAACAATTGAGAGTGAATTTGGTTAAAATTAATAATGTCATGGAAGTTCTATTAAATGCTACTTTCAGCCCATTCTGTTTTAAAAATCTAGTCCTCTAATTAACCAAATATTCTTAAAATGATTGATGGATTTGAGTTTAGCTGCTTGCCAAGGAGTTGTCCAGAGTACTGAAATTATCTTGACAATAACTTCTGCAAAATTTTCTTCTAATAAAGATGAATTCTTTCAATAATATTTCCCCCTATACGCTTTAACCAGAGAATTAGTAATCACAAATCCCTTTACTCTCATTTTGCCTTTTCCACCTCCTGTTTTTTTACAGCCTTTTAAATTGCTATTAACCTACTTTCCAGATAGCATCTAATTTAATGGCGGGACTAGGGATTTTTCCAGGAGGAAAATAAAGGTGTGATGTAGAAGCAACTGTGGTGCTTAAATTTTATTCACAGTGTGGAAAAGAGAACACAGCATTTTATAATTTGTGTGTTTAAAGTGCAAATACAAATGTGAAAATAGTCATCAGCTAAATGAGAATAAACTGATACACTTTTTAAATAAAGCTAACATCATGAGCCAAATTCATAATTTTATAAGGAAGTTCACTTGAAAGTGATGTATTTCATAGAAATTTTATACAGAAGCATTTTTCTCCTCATTAGACACCTATGTACATAGTAGACCTTCAATGAATAATATTGATTGTGGGTCCCTGCAATTATGGGTAAATAAAACATTTAAATACAAAGGAGTGGAAGCTTATACTTTTAACCAATTATGCAAATATTTATTTTCATAAAGGTGGCCATGTTGTATAAGCTGAATACTCCTGTTGTGTATCTGTTTTATAGGCTCAACTGTTCAGATTTCATATTTCCTAAGAGATTAATAAATACAACCATAATATATTTCATAGCTAGCAGATATTTTATGTGCCTCTTATATCTAAAGCTTAGCCAAATTTCAAGGCCTAGTTAATTTTAATGGGACGTAAATGCCTGGATTTGTCTAAGTTTGCTGAAATTCTACACAAATGGCTTCACATGTCAATTTCCAAAGCACGTTACCTTGGCTAATCTCTCAGGATCTCCAGGATGCCTGGGGATGACCTTCTGCAGTCTTTGGAAGCCATAGTCTATAGTGGGTTCATTTAATGCTGAAAAAGAAAAATCCTCTCTCTGAGTTTGTATCCTGGCCATAAAGCAAACCTTCTAATTAATTCTTCCACAGGTAATAAGAAGGTTCTGGATGCATAATGGATGTAATCAGTTAGAGTTTTTGCTGTTAACACTGGTTAATTCACATCTAAATTTAGAATTTATAGTACTTTTATATTTTTCCATTAGAATAACATTTCAAAATTTCAGATTATTACAATGATCATTTCTGCTTTAAGTGTACATACTTAAACTTCTCTGTTCACTATCAAATAAAGAAATACACGAGCAACCATATCTCGATTTCTTATGAAGATAATAAACTATTTTTATATTATTTTCCTTTCTCTCCTTCATCTCTTTCCTAAGTAGGACTGTATCGTCTATCACTTCTTCTAAATATCACTTTTTCTTAATCAGTCTCTTAAATACTTACATTCATACACATATAAACCTTCTATGAGCTTATTCTCATAAACCCTGTTTTTATGCATAATACGATTCCACAGTTTTCAATTATATTTAGTTACACCCACATCTGTTAAATGTCAGCTCCCCATCCCATCCCCACAAATACTGCAAATTTTATTCTACCACTATGCTCCCATTAAGATAGGGGCTGGCACATGGTAGGCACTTAGTGTCAGTAATTATAAAACAAGTGAGCACATTAATGAATGGCATACTTTAGCATTCCCACTATTCTAAAGAGTTTTCAGCATGCATTTTTTTCTTTCTCCTTCTTCCCTTTATTTTTAAAAAGTTTCTTGTTTAAATTTCATGGTTTTAAAATTAATGCATGATTAAAGCAAAAGGTACAAATAATAAAAAAATCACCTGCATTGCTGTTATGCAGCAATAAACACAGTAATGTGTATTTCCTTTAATCTTGTTCATATATATTTTATAATGTATGTATGTATGTTATTATTTTATCAAAACAATACCTTTTTAAAAAACCTATTAAAAACATTAAATATAGAAGAAAAATTAGCATAAACCCACTTAAGAAATGAGCCAGATTAACATTTTTTGCTTATATCTTTTCAGATTTAAACCTACACATATACCTAAAATTATTCAGAGACATACTGTTCACACTGTGACATAACTACTTTTCAGCCACTTAACAATATATCATAAACTTTCTCTCAGATCATTATTCTTTTATGACATTATTTTAAATTCCTGCATATTTTTCTATGACATGTTCTATAATTTATTTAAATGGCTTCCTAATATTGAGCATTTAATGTGACCCTAATTTCTCACTATTATAAATATCAGAGAAATAATTATCCCTTGTGCATAACTTTAATTATTTCAATTGCAAACTTCTAAGAATTAGAATTACTGGACCAAAAATTATGATTTATATTTTGGGCCTTTCAGACACATATGGTCAAATCACTCCTCAGGAGAAAGGAGTTTAGTCTTCCTCCAGCAATGTACGTGCTCATTTTAAATTACATTTTTTTTAGTCACCAGTGAGGTTGAAGAATTTTTTCTCATATTTGCTGATCATGTTAATTTCTTCTTTTATAACTGCTTATTAATACTTTCTGTACTCTTCTCTCACTTATAAAAATACTTTATATGTTGAGATTTTTAATACTCTGGCATCATGTTGTAATATCACATCCCAATTTATCCTTAAGTATTTGATGTATAGAAAGACCACCTCTACTCAAAGAACTGGTAGGTACACACACACACACACACATACACACACACACACACACACACACACAAATGTATATGTATATACACATATGTGTATACATATATGAATGCTTAAATTATTTAACTTATCTTTGCCACAATTTAAGTGTATTTCACAATTTATTGAATGATTTCTGGACATATATTCTGCTTTATTGATCTATGTTTCTATTCTGGGTAAAAATCACACTACTGTGGTTGTGACGCATGTTTAATGTTTGATAGTATAAGTGTCCTTCCACAAATACACAATCTTTTAAAACTACATTTTCTCGACTCTTCTGTTTTTTGTTTTTTGTTTGTTTGTTTTGAGACAGAGTCTTGCTCTGTGGCCCAGGCTGCTGGAGTAGAGTGGTGAGATCTTGGCCCACTGCAACCTCCACCTCCTGGGTTCAAGAGATTCTCCTGCCTCAGCATCCTGAGTAGCTGGGATTACAGGCATACGCCACCATGCCTGGCTATATTTTTTTGTGTTTTTTAGTAGAGACAAGATTTCACCATGTTGTTCAGGCTGGTCCTGAACTCCTGGCCTCATGATCTCCCTGCCTTGGCCTCCCAAAGTGCCAGGATTACCGGTGTGAGCCACCGCGCCCAGGCTTCTCAACTATTCTTATCCATTTATTCTTTCCGGATTAATCTTAAGGAAATTTCTAAAAAATGTTTCAGTTGCATTAAATCTACAACTAGAGAGAAAATGGATGGCTTTGCAATAGCAACACTCCACCTTCCTCTTCAGATCCCTCAGTAAACTGTGTACTGCTCAATGTATAGGTGTTAAGCTTTTTGCTTTCCATTTTAATTATTTGCTGCCTATTTCACTGTGAATATGGCTGCTCCTTAATCATATTGTCCAAGAGTCTTATTAGTGTCTAAAAACACTTTTGTGTTGTACACAACTGTGCAGGAAGTCTATGGTATAGAGATTAAGACAATCGGCTTTAGAGTTGAGTAGATCTAGGGTCTGAATTCCAGCTCCACAGTCTCTGCGAGCTGTTTAAAATCCATTTTATGGGTTGGCTGTCAAAATCAAATAAAACTATTTCTATAATGTCCCCAGCACTGTGCTTGGCATATAAAATATCTTTTTCTTTTCTTTTGAGATGGGGTTTCACCCTGTTGCCTAGGCTGGTCTCGAACTCCTAGGCTCAAGACATCTGTCCACAGCCTCCCCAAGTGCTAGGATTACAGGCATGAGCCACTGCACCTGGCCCATAAAAGATCTTAACCAAAGGTAACCATTATTTTGTAACAAAAATCCCTGACAGATATCACTATGTTTTTTTCTTATTACTTCTCTTACGCCTGTACATTCGTATCATCTACTTAAAGTGATCATTTTGTCTCCTTTTGACAAACATATTATCCCATTTAGTTCTCTTAATCCTATTCTTGTGTTGTCTAAAACTTCCCAAACAATGCTCCAAAATGAGGATAAAGTTGGATATTCTTGTTTTTCTCTGAATGGGAGTGACATATTTTACCACCAAATATGATGTTGGCTATTTGAGATAGATCTTATTGATCGTGGTTCAATAAGGGTTATTAGGACTTCTTGGGGTTTTAGAAAATCACAGTCACATGAATTTTCTCCTTTGGCCAAATATATATATACAAACTCTTGCTCTGTTGTCCAGGTTGGAGTACAATGGCACGATCTCAGCTCACTGCAACCTCCGCCTCTCAGATTCAAGCATTTCTGTCTCAGCCTCCCTAGTAGCTGGGATTACAGGTGTGAGCCACTGCACCCTGCCTATATTATATTCTATAATATATTTTCCAGTATTTCAAAATTAAACATTAACTCATGGATGTAATATATCATTTTATTGGTATATATCTGAATTCAGTTTGTTAATATTTCATTAATACAATGGCACAAGGATTAAATCAGTTAAGTTCCTAAGAACAGCACCTGGCACTTGGTGAGCACGCAAGTTTATTGTTATTGCTGTCAGGAATCTATGTGTACATATCAATAACTAGGATTGTGTGCATGGCTCTGTCCAACTAATGTTTGGTTTTTATTTTATACCAGCTTTGAAAACTATATTGAGGAGTTTTCTATATTTTATCCTATGCTCTATAAATCCTATATAGCATGGATAGCAGCTCTTGGCTAAACACTTGAAAGAACGCTAGTAAACTTGCTCATACTAAAGTCACCAATAGCATTTTAGCCAAACCAACAGGAACTTTTCCATTCTCTTCTTAACCCCAAGTTAACACTTGACACCGCTCATATTCTCCACTTCAAGAAACCCTCCCACCCACTGGCTTCCTGAACTCACACTGCCCAGCTTCCTTCCCACCTCTTTGGCCATGTCAGCCTACTTTGAGAACTGCTCTTTCTCTGCCTCGCTTGTCAATGATGCTTCTCAAGATTGTTGCCAGGCAGCCTTCTGCTTTGCTGCACATTCTCCTGGGCAACTTCATCAATTCCTCATGATTTCCACATGCAGCTACATGCTAATAGTCATAAAGCTTGATCTCTAGACTAGATACCTGACCTGAGATTCAGCTTTAAATATCCAACTGTTGGCTAGAAAATTCCACTCAGCTGTCCCATAGATCCCTCCCACCCAAGATACCCAAACTCAGGAGATTCTCTGTGAATTGCGTTATTATCCAAATGACTGACTGCCAATCAGAAACCTAAACTTCGTTCTGTTTCTCAATATCATTGTATTTTTTCTAGAAAAAAATCATCTATTTCATCAGGACTGTAAATGTTTTAGCATAGAATCTATATTGTATTTGTTTAAAATTTCTCACTTATCTAGAGTTCCCTGACCCCTCATCCCACTGAAATGTATACAAATTTATGTATATGTTTAAATTATTTAACTTATCTGGATTTTATTTTGTTGTGTAACATTAAGTACTTACCTTTGCCACAACTTAGTAAACTTCACAATTTTGTGGTAATTTGCTGATTAGTCTTATTTATAATTTTGACTTCCTTTAGTTCCAGAAAGAATACCCTAAAATTTCTATGTAATTTAGTACTAAATTGTTAATTGTTTATTGCAGTCAACTGCCCTGGATTCAAAAAGGTATCCTTCACAGTATCTGCCTTTTGGAATGTATTGAGTTTTTGTGAATTAGTACATATTAGTTTTGTCTGCATTTCCTGGGCAATGCTTTAAAGTCTTATTTCATCTGTCTTTTTGATCACATTATTTAACACATCTATTTTTGCTACTGTAAATTTGTCTTCCCACGTTCTCATATTTCTAATAGTTTTAAATATATATACTTTTCTAGTGATTTGACATAT